AGCAACAGCTCACTTTGAGTGATCTTTTGTGGTCGGGAAAATTATATCAGCAATTCTAATTGAGTCAATGTTACATATCTAAATAAAATTAAAAGAAATTCTTTTTTTAAATTTACCGACTACTAGTCTTAGAATTGGAAGTAAAAAAACAACACAAAATTAAATGGCTATAATTGTTGCTCTTTCAGTTTACATTATCAAAACCCGAAATGAGGACAGGAACTTTAAGATTACATCTTCATTTGTCGTATTACAAGTGTTCAGATAATTAACAGCTCAATTAGGCCAGATTTCTGTGAAATATGAAGAAGAGGTATTTGTTGCCACCAGATCGGCATACAAATCTGTAAAACAAAATAATTATTTTAATTATTTCCCCCAAGAAGTGTTCGAGATTTTAGCACTGAAAAAAAAAAGACAGGGGTCATACCATTCTTTACCTGCATTAAATTTCTTATGCTTGCCAAATACTGTAAATGGAAATCCAGCAACTGATGGCAGTTGTTCAGCAATCCAATAAACTTTTGCTGATCTAGAAAGCGATTTTTTTGCTAACACATTTTGCATATCGGGATAATTGACAGCCATTTCTAGCGAAATTTGTGAGTTATAGATTGATGGCATTGTGCAAGTAAAATGTCTACCTGTAAATATTCTTCTTATTATTTATTGAAATTTGTAATTAAAAAACTTCTATAATTACTCAAAAGAGCCAACGATTTAGTGGAAAGCGTGATGCACAAAAAAAACTGTCCATTATTGTGACCAGATTCCGGATACTGTCTGGGTGTGGAAACTTCGGAACACTGTGTATAAGCCGGAATCCGGTCTCATTGTCAAACACCACTGCACCTTTCGAGTGCCCACGATGGAATCCGCTTTACCGTCTGCATGTTCATCGTTGTACATCATATAAAACAGCTCCTAAACTCATGGAGAACAACCTCATAAGATGTTCAAGAAATTGCACAACGGAGTTTAGTTTTTTGTAATATTAGTACAAATGTTCTACATATAAATAATTTTAAAAATTCTTTCGCTGAAATGTTGTAGC